TCATAAACACAGCCCAAAGGGCTAAGCACAAACTGTTATGAATTCAGCTGGGTCAATTTGTCAACCTGATTTCTATACCAAACCCAAGCATCAAAGACAATAGGGGAATCATATATCCATGTAAATTAACTCTCGCTCCATTTAGGGAAAAAAAAAAAACAAATAGTTTTATGAATTTGTGTTTTCCAAAAGCAGCTTATGTTATGATGTAGCTGGCACTCCTATGTCAAGGGTCAGAGAAAGAAAAATCCATTATAATGCAGGGAGGCTCTGGACTACAGGAGAAGTGATGTTGCCTTTCAGTGCTAAACCATACAAAGGAGTGCATCCTCTGCCACATTTTCTTGCGGTGTGTTCTTGGAAACCCAACAGACACCATGAGTAATCCACAGTAGGCCACAGCAAATAAGAAAGATAAGATGTCTGTGGATCTGTTTGAAATTAGCCCAGAGTGGTATGGAGCTTACAATGTTGCCAAAGATGGTCACAAATTCACAGTCATCCACCTGCCTCTGCCTCCTCATATTAGGGTTATAGAGCCAGCCCACTTGGCCCAAGATACTATATTATACACAGATACTACTACAGTGTTTACTCAAGATGCCCTTCCACAATTACTTGGAACAGCAAGAGAGGAACTACTGCAGAGTCATCCCAGAAAGGCAGATTTATAAGAAAAATAAATGACTGTATACCGTTGTTGTTGTTTTAACTAAGTATTAAGGTTGGCTTGTTAGAGGGCAAACAGTACCTGAAAGAGACTTTGAGAGTTGGAATTTGGATGTTCTAGTAGAAAACTTAAAACATGTGGCTTTAATATGATGACTTGTCAGCAGCAGGCAGAAGGTAGGGAACCTGAAAACAAGTGACTATGAAAGCTAAAAGCTCATGGGGGAGAAAGAGGCTGTGGGGACCTAAGGAGTTATGACAAAATCCCTGGGGAAGGCTTCAAAGAGAGACTGAAAGCTGGGAAGAAGTGTCCTGATCTTCCTAAAGTTTTTTCCTTAAATATGGTTACTTCTCAGGGGCAAAAAATGCAAGAGTCACTCACTCAGCACACACACAAAGAGCAGACATAAGCACACAGTGAAATGTCAGCTTTCCACAAGCCAGCAAGAGAGCCCCCACCAGAAGCCTGGCCATGCTCACATCCCAGATTTCCAGAGCACAAAGTGAGAACAAAATGAAAGTGCAGGAGCTTCCACTGGTAGTGGGGAGAGACACTGATCTTCAGAATTTCCTTTGAGCCGCTGCTTCAAAGGAAATACGTGCCATCAGCAGAAGGTAACAGAACTCCACACCACACCCTTTACTAAGCCCCCAGTGTATAGCCAATACAACCTGCCAGGTCTCCAACCAGCTCTGTCTTTTAAGAGGCATTGGCATCAGCCTTACCTTTGTGGACTGGGAGTGTAGCTCAGAGTTAGAGCACCAACCACATAGAGTACCCTGAGGGGTTCAATTCCCAGCACGAAAAGGAAAAAAAAAAAAGTGGCTTTCTAAGTGAGCCATCCCAGGTGATACAATGTGGTAGAAGGGTAATCCTTGTTAAAAAAAAAAAAAATACGTGTTACAGTCACAGATTCATGAGCAAAATAAATTGCTCTTATCAGCACAAGCGTTGTGGCTTTTAATAGACATACATCACAGACACCCTCTCTCCATAAATTGTACCTTATGCTTCCAGGGGAGGTTAAATGCTCTTTCCTATTGCTTCCAAAGGGCTCTATGAAATATTGCATCCTTCCATACTATAAAATATAATAACTTTTACCATTCACTTATCAGCCTCCTTAGGGCAGGGTTCTATGGGATGATGTTTCCTCCAATATATTACTTCCAGAACACTGAAACCTTGACCAGACTTGTAAGAAATTCTTGGTAGGTATATACCACACAATATATGATTCTATTTTGTCCTTTTTCTTTCTGCATAGTGATTTGAGAATTTTCTTCTTGCCCTATTTCCCATTCACTAAATCTTCCTCCAGGGGAAGTTTATCTCATAACATCCATTTACTAGTTTTCTTATGTTGTATGTACCTTCTTTTCCTAATTCCAGAAGTTTACTTTTTCATTTCAAATATATTTTGGTGTTTATTTTTCCAAAGCTTCTCTTTGCTTGAAATTACTTCAGCTTTCCAGTCATAGTTTCTCCCTTTGAAGCCCTCACCAGTGATTTGTGCTAAGGTTCTTTAGGACAAATGTGCCTTCGCTACAGTCCTTTGGTCTACCTCCTTCTCCAATGTGCTGATAAAAGGGGCTCCAAAGTCAGAAGTTATCTAATCATTTGATTTTTTTCATGAGCTTTTTGGTGCTGTTAAGATGTTTTTCTTACACACACATGCACACACACACACACACACACACACACACACACCATTGTTTTTTTTTGAGACAAGGTTTCTCTGTGTAGCTTTGGCTGTCCTGGACTCACTTTGTAGACCAGGCTGGCCTTGAACTCATAGAGATCTGCCTGCCTCTTCCTCACCAAGCACTGGGATTACTAGTGTGCACCATTGCACCCCGATTCTTCCCTTATGCAGCATTCGTTGTTTGCAGCAGAGTCGACTAGAGCCTAATCATCCTTGGCACCTACGCACAACTCTTCTTTATCCAAAGGTCCTTAGCATTCAGAATTCTCCTGGCACATCAAGGAAATGGATCATATTTTGACAGATGACTAAGAGGAAACCACCCTTCCATGCTTGCACCCCTTCCCCTATCATCAATCCTGACACCACCCTGTGCCTATTCCCTAGTTAAAGCTCTTACAGTTTGGCACATGCTGCCTATATTTTCCTGCCTCAAGTCTGCCATGTCCCTTATTGCAAAGTTCCAGGTTTCACCTTTTTCTTTTTTTAAAACACAGGGTTTCTCTGTGTAGCCTTGGCTTTCCTGGACTTGCTTTGTAGACCAGGCTGGCCTCAAGTTCACAGAGATCCACCTGCCTCTGCCTCCCAGAGTGCTGGGATTACAGGCGTGCACTACCACGCCTGTCTGTGCTTTCACCCATTCCATGCCATGACACAGCTTTTATTTTCTATGATGACATGTGAATCACTCATTTGTTTGCCTTCATCTATGGCCTGTGCTCAGCTGGCCTTTTGCTTTCCTGACACCTTTTCTGATTTTTACTGTCACATGAGAACTTCCATCTGACTTCTATATTCCTCCATACCCAGTTCCTTGTCCACAACTCCTAATTCACCGCATCCTCTGACATAACACAGCACTATAAAACATAATGAATACAAGTTGTACCACTTAAATTCAAGCCCCAACCTTATTAACATAATCCTCTGACCCTACCTGTGTGTCAGGGCCTGCATGTCCTCATTCCAGACAACGGATAATGTTAATATCTCATAGCACCCTAAGGGACACATGAGGTGACACACATAAGTACTCAGGACACAGAGTAAATACTTTTAGTTTTCAACTGTTTTATTACTACATTTCACCTTATCTAAAAAAGTCTTTCTTTTTTTATTTTTATAGTTCATACCATTCTTTGGCCTCAGCACTGCTCAATGTCTATTTGTTCACCTCTGTGAAAGTTTCTAGCCACTCATTCATAATGGCTTTTCTGGGTTTTACCTCAACCCCTTTAAAGTCTTCCTTTCAGCCATTTCTTCCCCACCCCACCCCAAATACTGGGGCATGAACCAAGAGCACTGGACATGGTGGACAGGCACTCTACTGCCGAGCTGTGCCCAGAAGGTGCCAAGGTATGCAGAACAAACACACTTGGAAATGTAAGAGAATTCCTCTATAACAATGACCATTCTTCCATTTTTCCATCCCTGGGCAAGGAATGTTTGCATTTACCTAGACTACTGGATTGCTAACATCTACCCATTCTGCCTTCTTTGTATGCCTCAACTTCAGTACCTCCCCACATCAGAGAGTCTTTCCAACCCTCACAGGAGACAGAGCCTTCATTATCCTAATGAATTAGCACTTCCCTCTCCCACCTGCCTACCTCCTATGCTATCATCATAACTTTTTAAATACTGACCATGTAACCTGTATTTTCCATTCCCATTTTTATTTCCTGTGTCCAGAGCCTCACTGTGTGTACCATTTCTCACCTGGTTTTACAGTATCGCTTCTAAAATTCATCATACAAACACAAGCAGCAACTAAACTGTCAACCTTTCTTCTGCTTCTCTTCCCGACTTTCCCGAAGGCCCTGAGGGCTCTGAATACACTGAGTAGTCATCTGAATCTTTCCTCCTCTATTCACTTTTATAGCAACATCCTGGATATCATCAATGGTCAGGCAAAGATTCATGTTCTGAAGGCCCAACCTTTTATTCATCTTAAGTAAGATACAAATTCATTTTCCCTAGCAGTGAAGAGGCACAATATTTGACTGGTCTTGTCCACTAGTTTGTAACATAAACTGAAAAAGGAAAAAACAGACCAGGCATGGTGATGCATGCCTTTAATCGCAGCACATGGGAGACAGAAACAGGCATATCTCTGTGAGTTCAAGGCCAGCCTGGTCTACATAGTGAGTACCAGGACAGCCTGAGCTACATAATGAACCCTGTCTCAAAACCAAAGCAAACCAAACCAAGCCAAACAACAAACAAACAACAGACAAAAACAGAAAATAACAGATCTAAACATGCTATAAAAACATAAAATAAACTTAGAAGTGAAATATAGTTCAGGAAATTGGAAACAGGATGCACTAAGGTATAATAAAGACGCCTGCCACCAGGGACCCAGAGCATTACATCTGACCCAGGTTCTAATGGTTAAAATGCATCCAGGTAGCTTCATCTCCAAAAAGAGCCCTTAATCATGAAGAGGTTTCACAGGGAAACCCATGGCTTCCCTGTACTCACTTGAAATGCAAAATTGATCCCTGCGACTACCCTGGGGCACTTCCATGTTGATAATATAAGATGAAATAAAGTATTAATAGTGTAACTTTACTTATGTGAATATGCAAATTGAATTGGCTAATTGTTAATAGGAAATATTACCAGCTCTCGGAGAAGGTGCCCTTGCGATTTCTAAGGAGCAAGGTTTCTTTGTAACAGCTGTGTCCACGAGATCACAAAGAAAGTTTTCATTTTCCGAAGGGAATGTGTCCAGAGAAGCAGATGGCACAATTTCCATGGTGTAATTCCTCTTCTTTGGATAAGACTCCTGAAAAGGAGAGAGAATCAAAACCTTCTTAATAAAAATATAGCCTTGTCTGAGTTATAAAAACCAGAAAATAAAACTAGGTCCATCAGTTGGTATCAAATTGGCTAATAACTGATGTTCTACCTGAAAAGGTCCTATAACCATGCCACTCCGGTGTGAGCAATGATGTTTTCTGAGAGTTCTTATATCATTTGGCTACCCGGAGACTGCATTAGTTACTAACAGTCTTGATCTTCTTCTGTTGTATATATCTACTTCCTAGTCACAGGGTAAACAGTTATTCAATTTATTTACTTACTTAGTTAATTTTTATTTAATCACTTTACAATCTGATCCCAGCCCCCTCCCTCCTTCCTCCCAGTCCCACCCTCATGCTCCCCTCTTCCCACCCCCCCTTATTTTTCTCAGAGAAGGGGAGACCCCCCAGGGGTACCAACCCATCTTTTCACCTCAAGGCACAGCAGGACTACATGCATCCTCTCCCACTGAGGCCAGACAAGGCAGCCCAGCTAAGGGAAAGAGACCCAAAGGCAGGCAACAGAGTCAGAGACAGCCCCTACTCCCATTGTTAGGGGACCCACTTGATGACCAAGCTATGGCATAAGCAGTTTTAATCAACAGTCATTTCCAAGACCCTGCTCTTTGCAGCCTCCTAGAGAAAACTATGTAACTCATCTTTGGCTCCTTAGACACAAGCAGAATCCTCTAGGGGTGGGGGAAGGGGGAGGCTGAAGGGATATGTTTCCCCAAAGAAGTCTATGAGGAGGCTACCCCTATACTACTCTCTAGGAAAGGGGAAGATTTTTTTTTGTTTTTTACTATAATGCAAACTCAAGAACAAAATGGTAAAGTTGCACCATTAAGACAAAAGTGCCTGGTACCCTTAGGATATAATTGAGTTGCTTGGATAGACGTAGGACCAGTTTCTTCCAGCTTTATAAGCAAACACTAGCATCCTTGTAGTTTAAGGTATTGCTATTTGAGTTTTCTCTCAGAATTATAAGTATCCTATCCAACACATTAATATTTTTTGCGAATACTGCTAGCTATCTAACTAACACAGTGTGACTAATCCTTTTTAAGGTTAGGATGTAATTTAGATCCAAATTTTATGTTACTAATACCTCATTATATTCTAAAAACCACAGTTCAGTTAATTGTATAACATCTTAATTTCTTATGCATGATGTATTAACTACTTACCAATAATTACTGGACCTTCCCCATGTGTGTTCACATGTGTGTTTGTGTGTGTGTGTGAGTGTGTGAGTGTTTTTGAGTGTGTGTGTTTAGGCATGTGGTGTGTGTGTGTGTGAGTATGCATGTGTGTGTGATTATATGTGTGTGTGCTATTTGTGTGTGAGTGTGTGCATGTATGTGTGTGTTAGAGAGACTACATTAAGCATTGGAAGCTACACACTGGACATTTTGTTTTAGTTGGTAAGAAATAGTCCTTGCTCTCAGGGAGTTCATAGTCTACTAGAGAAGACAAATTATTTGCACGATGGATTTCAGAATGAATCACATTTTTTGTGTTTGTTACCTTATAAAGTACACTTCACAACTGAGAAACAAATAACAAGAAAATAAACTCATTTTCAAAATATCTTCCATACTCTATTCCAGGGTTGATACAGATTTAGAGTGAGCTCCTACTTTCTCTATAATGATATTTACAGTAAGTGGAATTCAAGGTCAGGGTAATTGCTTTCAGACCACACCAGACCCTCACACATCAAAGAGTCAATTATGTTCACTCTACTCTATTGAAAGCAAGAAATTGGGAGTAATTTATTTTTAACAACAAAGGGTGACAAAGTAGAAAGCATCTAGAGGAAGCAATCAGTAGGGTATGTGCTTTAAAACCCATATCGAAGAAAAAATGATAAAAGGAGCCACAGCGTTCCAGCCAGAGAAGCTGGAGAGCCACATAATGATTTTCTCAACATCTGAAAGGCTCGCCCTCCAGAGCAATCTCACAAAGTGGGGGGAAGAGCAGACCTCCTAAAAGGCAAAAAACAGAAACAAAACAAAACGAAGAAGAAGACTAATGTTTATAAGACAAAGAGCAGAAATATGGGTCAATTCACCAAAATAAGTTTTATGAATTGATAGTATTACTTTTCTTACAAAAATAAACACTTTAACACAATAAGCTGAGGAAAGGAACTAGAAAGCAACAGAATAGACTCCCCATTGCCGGGAATCTCCAGCTAGTCACCCGTGGGGCTAGACTAGACATCCTGCCTTTGCCCTGTGTGCTTGCCCTCTGCACCACCCTCTCTCCAGAATCTGCTGCTGCATATCAGGAGCTGAATACCTCTATGCATCCCAGGGACAGGCCCTTGTCCTTTAAGCAGACAGACTACTACTGTCACAGAAATGAATTCACTTTTTAAATTTTTATTTTATTTTTATTAATTACAGTTTATTCATAGTATATCCCAGTTGTAGCCCCTCCCCTACCCCTTCCCAATTCTACCCTCCCTACTTCTTCTTCTCCTATTCTCCTCCTCCAGTCCAATGATAGGGGAGGTCTTCTTCCCCTTCCATCTGACCCTACTCTATCAGGTCTCATCAGGACCGGCTGCATTGTCTTCTTCTGTGGACTGGTAAGGCTGCTCCTCCCTCAGGTGGAGGTGATCAAAGAGATAGCCCCTGGGTTCATGGTTCATGTCAGAGACAGCCCCTGTTCCTATTACTGGGGAACCCTCTTGGACACTGAGCTGTCACAGGCTATGTCTGTGCAGGGGTTCTAGGTTATTTCCATGCGTGGTCCTTATTTGGAATATCAGTCTCACAAAAGACCCCTGTGCCCCTATTTTTTAGTTCTGTTGCTCTCCTTGTGGAGCTCCTGTCCTCTCCAGGTATTTCTATCTCCTTCTTCTTTCATAAGATTACCTGCATTCTGCCCAAAGTTTGGCTATGAGTCTCAGTATCTGCTTTGATACACTTCCGGGTAGAGTCTTTCAAAAACCTTCTGTGGTTGATTCCTGTCCCGTTCCCTGTTTTCTCCCTCTTCCGATGTCCGTCCCATTTGTCTATCTGAATGAAGACTGAGCATCTTATTCAGGGTCCTCCTTCTTGATTAGGTTTGGTGGGAATGTAACCTTGTACAACCACTTTGGAAATCAATCTGGCACTATCTCAGACAATTAGGAATTAGCGCTACCTCAAGATCCAACTATACCACTCCCAGGCATATATCCAAAATATGCTCAAGTACACAAGAAGGGCATTTGCTAAACCATGTTTGTAACAGTTTTATTCATAATGGCCAGAAACTGGAAGCAACCCAGATGTCCCTCAAGGGAGGAATGGATACAGAAACTGTGGTACATTTACACAATGGAATACACTCAGCAATTAAAAATAAGGATATCATGAAATTTTCGGGCAAATGGTGGCATCTAGAAAATATCATCCTGAGTGAGGTATCTCTGAAGCAGAAAGTCACAGCAGTATATACTCACTTATAAGTGGATGTTAGACATATAATATAGGATAATCATACTAAAATCTGTACACCCAAGGCATTCCCTTTTTTGTTAGTTTGTTGTCGCTTACTTCATTGCCTTTCAAAACTGAAGACTATGATGTCCTAAGCAATCCCAGCCACACGAGGATGAGTGATATTTTGAATTTGAGGCCAGCAGCCTAGGTAGCACAGTGAAGGAAGGACAATGAAAGAAAGAACAGAAACAAGGAAGGAAGAAGAGAGAAACTGAGGTTACAAATGTAAAACTGAACAGCGTCTAGTCAGTCTCCAATGTTCGCTGGAATTGTAAACGTCAACAAAACAACTGACAACAAATACTGGAACAGTATGGGAAATGACAAGAAGAAGAAGAGGAGGAGAAGGAGGAAGAAGAGGGAGAAAAGAAAAAAAGAAGAAAAGAAAAAGAATTTTCACTCTGAAAACATACATAAAAGTGACTTTTACAGACTGAGCAAGGATATACATACATATACATATATGTACATATTATGTACATAGGTATACAATAATAATTATTGAAAAGTGAGCATGAGCTTGAAAGAGAACAAGTAGGGTATACCTGAGAGGTTTTAGACAGAGGAAAGGGAAGGGAGGAATGATGCAACAGCATTATACTCTTAAAAATAAAATAAATTAAAAAGTCTCCAGCTAAAACCCTACGCTAAATTTTTCAGAACAATTCATGGACTTGGTAAAGTTGCAGGCTCACTGTTTATAAAGGATTACTAAGATTTTTAAATCCTTAAAAGAATGACTCGGGAGTTTAACTGTAAAGATGGAATGATTTACACAGTCTGACTTCTGTGAACAGGGCGACAACACACATGTGAGCCTTGTAACTGCTCAGAACACTGATTTCATACCCTTTGCTGAATACCCAACAGTGGGATGAATCATTCTCAATATTTTTAATTTTTTGGGAAATTCTAAGCATTTTCCATAATGGGTGCATCAACTGTTATTTTATCCAGTGGTGTTTATGGATTTCATTTTCTCCATATTCTCCCAATAGTGGTGAGTTTTATCTTTTTTGCATTAGCCATTCTACCAGCTATGAGCTATCATTGTAACTTTGGTTTGAATTTCCCTGATTATTGAGCAGAGGACTTTTTTATATCTATTGGTCATCTTACATATCTTCTTTAGGGAACAACTATCCAAGTCCTTTGTTCATTTTAAAGATTTAATTGTTTCCAACTGTGGAGCTGTTTCAGTGCCCTGTATAACAATATAAACCCTTTATATCATGTATGATTTATAAATACTTTATCTGATATACAAAAGCCATTTATCCAATGTAATTCATTTGTCTACTTTGTTTTTGTTAATTCTTTTGTGCTGAGATAAAAAACAAATGCCAAAACCAACATCATGAAGATTTTAATTCTGTTTTCTTCTAGTAGTTTTACAGTTTTTGGTTTTATGTTTTAAGTCCATTTCAGGTTAATTTTTTTGCATATAGTCTGAGATGAAAATCTGAAGTAACATACCTATGAGGTTT